GCGGGGAGGTTCTTCTCCAACGGAAGCCCAAAACCTCTGACAAAAGGTTTGGCCTGCGGGACAAGCAAAAGCGTTGCGTCGCTTTGGGCCCGGAACTTGGCAGCTCCAAAAGGGTTTGGGTTTAGGGTTTAGGGTTTAGGGTTTGAGGTCGCAGGCCGAGGATTCATCTGGGATTGAGGCGAAGTGTGTTTGGATTCCTGGTGATTGGGAGGAACTGCAAAGTCGCAAGGGTCGTTCAGTCTCATGCAGTGCACCCACGCATGATCGGCACCAGTTTCGTTGGAAAGCCAAAGATCCGGGATGGTGAGTCCGATCTCTCACTGTTGGAGATTGTTGGGGAGTAACAGGAAAGAACCTGTAGAAGCAGCTGTCCAGGCGGAGTTTCCGCCGCTTGGAACCTAGCCGCAAGCCCAGCACCGATCTGTAGCACTCTGCCTTCGATCGATTGGCCCGGCAAGCCGGCAGTCGCTGAGGATGCAAGAAGAAAAAATCTCCTCCCTCTCAGTGGGCACCTCAGAGTTCTGGACCAACCTGGGTTGAAGGCATTAGGATCATTAGGTCCACCGAGTTGAACAACGAACAATCGCGTTCCTAAGATGACCTAAACCCAAAGTGTGTGTATGCAGCGAAAGCGGCGGAATGCCAGGTTCAAGCTGTTAAAGCCCGGCGGGAACGGTCTTTTCTCGGAGCCCGTCGTTCCGGCGCCAGTCGCCTTTTTTTCTTCTCCTTCCTCCACATCGTTCCTGTGTGAGCACCGGCAAGCGCCAAATCTTCGGCCATTCTAATCATGCTGAATAACATTAAGCCCAAACACGGGGCACTGGCTCTTCAGCTGCAGCGACCCCGGCCACAGACAATCAAATGCCCGCACAAGGTCACGCACCACCGCTGCTAGAGCATCAGCTCTTGAGCTTTATCACCCACCTGGAGCCTACTAGCGGGCCGTCAAAAGCTTTGTGCTGCCAACCTGGCTATCCGACTATCCGGGCATAGCAGCGCAGCTGTTCTTTCAGAGAAAGTCCACTCGCTGGCTCGGCCCTCTCCCGCTCTGTACTTTATGTCTGCGTGGCTTTCAACACGCTCGCTAAACCGTAGTCCAAGCTGGACCGTCACAATGTGAAGCTTCTCTCAGCTCCGTAGTTCTCCAAAACGCAGCTTGGCGAGAATGTGAATGCCTCAAGAACCTCCTCTCACTCCCAACCGCCACCCGCCCCTCCACATGGAAAAGGTATCTGCAAGCATCTCCGCTGGTGCTGCGGGCCAGCGCAAACTAACAGGAGGTGTACGTAATCCATCAGTTATTGCGCGTCCAAGACAGGAATTTCGCAAACTCCTCACAGAAGCTTTTTGGAGTAATCTATTCCTTCTGGCACGGGGCTTCTCATGAAGGACACAGACACTCTCTCACTTCCCATGAATAAACCATGTGCTGCAAGCCAAGCCCTGAAAATCTCCACAAAACGTGAACTATCCTCAACATGCGTTTTTGTTTCTGTAGGTCTGTAGTTCTGTAGGTGTGCGCCTGCTTGCATATGCAACAGAGTGGAGTTGTACAGACCAAGTAAAATGAATGTGCGAGTGATGGGCGTGACGAAGTATGCATAGACGGAATCACTTCTGCGGTAGCATGGTAGAAAGCTTAGCAGGGTATGGCTTGTAATTGGCTGAAGCAGATGTTACTCTTAAGGATGCCATGTGTACCCCCGTACTCCCAGATCAGCCAAATTCATGCAGTATGCCATGGAGCATCGTTGTGATGTTTTTATCTACTCAGGACCTCTCGCCGGCACTGCTGAAGCTGTCCGCAAGACGCACCCTCGAAGGCCAGTTGTGGCCAGTTGTACCCCGAGCGCAGACCAAAGTCCACTTGCCACTACCTGAGGTGCTTCGGACGGGCCTCGCGGGCCTAGCAGCAGTCTGTCTTGCTGATGCCGGCGGTCCGGCTCTGTTTTGTAGATTCATCCCCTCGGTGGCCGCTCCGTCATGCTAAGCAGGTAGTTCATTCAAGTTTAGACCAGAAGCCTCCATCTAGTACTCTAGTATCTTCCAGTGCAAGTGTCCTTCACTGCAGCCTTCACGCACCCTTGGAAGCGCCACCCAGCCGCCCCAATGTCAATAGGGGGCCAGTGCTCAAGTGTGCGTTAGGTGATGATTTTCTCTTTCCTGTAGTTCGGTGCACACTGGGCTTGGCCCCAGCAGTCTCACTCTCTTATGGGTTGCCGAGACTGGGTCCTGCTCCCGAGCTTGCCATCACAGTGAGGGGCCGGAGCCCTCACCCAAAGGCCCCAACTCCAAAGTGCAAACCATGAGCTCTTCGGCTCGGATCGGCAGATGTCTGGCAGACCCAAGCGAAGGCCGGGACAGCGCGAGCGCTCCAATGTTGTCAAGCGAAAACTGATCGCTCTGGCTCCGGCTCTCTCTCTTCCCTCGCTGGTTGAATCTGTCCTTTGTTTTGGTTGTAAGAGATCTGCGGTTGGTTGTTGGATTTCGGATCTCTGACGTATCCTCAAACGACACATGCTGGATGCAGAAACTCGATATGCTAACACCTTTGACCATCTATCAATTGAAACGCCAGCAGAGCAGATCCAATGCGGCAGCAGGGGTTGCTTCAGTACCTTCAGCAGTGTGCGAAGCAACGCCTTCCAGAAATCGCCAGAGAGGTGCAATCCGATGAACAACACATCCGGGTCGTGGAGATGTTACCACCCGTCAAGGTTCGCGTCGAGGAACTTTCAGTCACACCCTTGTATCTGTCGCTGCTCTTCCTCTTTCTGTCTGTTTATCTGTCTCTCAGTCCGTCTGTCTATCTGTCTGCCGGTCTATCCATCCCAGACATCTCAAAATATGTATAAAGATTGAATGCTTATTGTATTCGTTTTTTGTTCATTGTCATATTTAAGTTTATAGTTTGTTTATGTATGTGTGCGGGCCTTCATATTCGGTAGTTATCACCCATCTACCCATCCGTCCCTCCGTCCGTCCGTCCGTCCCTCCGTCCAGCCATCCGTCCGTCCGTCTGTCCGTCCATCCATCATCCATCCATCCATCCATCCATCTATCGATCTGTCTATTTGTCTATCTGTCTGCCTGCTGTCTGTCTGTCTGTCCGTCTGTCTGTGTCTGTGTCTGTCTGTCTGTCTGTCTGTCTGTCTGTCTGTGTCTGTCTGTCTGTCTGTCTGTCTGTGTCTGTCTGTCTCTGTCTGTGTCTGTGTCTGTGTCTGTGTCTGTGTCTGTGTCTGTGTCTGTGTCTGTGTCTGTGTCTGTGTCTGTGTCTGTGTCTGTCTGTCTGTCGACTTTCTATCTTTCCACTGCCTGTGTGTCCATCTGTCTGTCTGTCTGCCTGCCTGTCTGTGGGTCTATCTGTGCGTCTGTCCATCTTTCTATCTAACTATCTGTCTATCTATCTATCTATCTATCTACCTATCTACCTATCTACCTATCTACCCACCTATCTACTTATCTACCTACCTATCTATCTATCTATCGATCGTTCTATCTAAGTATGTGTCTCTCTCTCTCTCTCTCTATGTATGTTCATTTCTGCACACACACACATAAATGCAAATATACAGATAGATATCAATATAATCAGAAAAAAAGAACATAGGTATACAAATACAGATCTAGCTTTCTGTGCATACACATACACACACACACACATATATATATATGCATATACATACATATATATATATATAGAAATATGTCTGCATGTAGGTGCATGCTGTTTATTCATGCGATAAAAATGGTAAAGGTCGGGGACCTGAAGTGTGCAATTTCCACAGCTTTTGGGATCGAGTGGGCCGCTCGCGGCGCTCCCGAGGCGGGCTGAGCTGGATTGCGGTTTAGGGATGTTTAGGGTTTAGGGTTCATGTTGCAACTTTAGGGTTGGCGCAGGGTGTTGCGCTCGATTTGGGTCTTGAATGGGCTTGAAGACTCTGGGGATCAGGGTTGAGAGATTTGAGAGTGTCTGGGACTGCAAAACCCCTCTGGGGCGTTAATGATGGAACATGGGTCGTGTGGCTATCTTCAAGACGATCTGCAAATCATTCGGATTTCGGACGGTCTCGAACCAAGACTATCAGACCCAGCCTGTACTCTTGCAAACTGCACTCCCCCAGATAATTGGGCAGCCCAAGCCCGTCCCTAAATTATCCTCATCTATAAAAGGCGTGGAATTTGAGTCTAAGGGGTGCAATGCTAGATCGCAGTGCAGCGCGCTTCACACAAGAGTTCACTGGTCTGTTTATCTAGCCCAGAATCAGGCATGAAGCAAAGGGAGAGATGAAAGCTGCAACAGCGTGAAAGCTTTGGCCACGGCTTTCACGAATCCTAAACCCTTGCTGACCCAGGCCCAGAAAGAAGTTCCGCCCGAAATGTTTTTGGGAAGTCTGTGCCAGGCAAATTCCATGAACTCGCTGCAGGCTCGCGTGGTTCATCGCAGTAACCGTAAACGAGCTGCGTCTACAACATGGCTGATGGCTCTCGGTGGTGCGAGAAGCCTAGCAGTAGTAGCAGTAGTAGCAGTAGCAGTAGCAGTAGTAGTAGTAGTAGTAGTAGTAGTAGCAGCAGCAGCAGCAGCAGCAGCAGCAGCAAGTATCCTCTGGAGCTTTGCAAGCGCTGTGGCTGTATGCGCAGAACAAGATGACTCGCTTTGGCGCCCCTTCCCTTCGTGTGGATTCACAGCAAGTGCCACAAGATGAGAAGGTCCGTGAAAGACATCGCTGTAGCTGCTGGATTCAAACAGACATGCATGTCATCAGTTGGGCTAGGCAAGAGCGAACGGATCTAGAAGAAGTCATGCTATATTAGCAGGTGTGCTGGGTACTGAGGAAATGGTAGCTCTAAGGCTCTAAGAGAGACGACAGTGAGAAGAAACTAGAGTGACTAGAACCCAAAGCCCTTATACTGTTTCTAATGAGGAGAGTTTCTTCAAGCTTACACATGTCACAGCCGGGGTCTGTGAAGCTTTGTCGGCTTGCCGCGCTGCTGCGCCGATGGACTATCGTTCACCAGCACCTTGTGAGGTGCCAGCTGTGTTACGGTGCTGTACCTCGCAACACAGTGAGAGCGAGTTCTTCTCCTCCAAAGACATCGAAATTCCCCCCCTTGCTTCTGTCGTTTCGGTCAGTTGAGGTTAGGAGCTGTCGGCTGTCGCAAAAGAGCCACGGCAGGCCTGGGAAAATGTCACGAGCACCGTGCACAACTGGCTCTACCGCACATCGACCGTTCGTTGCGGATGCGGGACCTGGGACAACGATCCAAGGATGGGTCCCGATCCCCGTGATGAACCACCCAGCTTCGTGAGCTTTTTGCCAGTTGGGCATGCCATGCTGCATGTCCAATTCCCGCATGTCTTGTAAACTCGGTCGCACGACGTGTCGTGCCTTTCCAGGACGTGCTTCTCCCGTGCCTTCCTCCCACTCCTCTTTGCATCGGCCGGTGTCACCCTCCTTGCGGCACCGAAGGATGCGAAGTTGACGCTTCCGGTTGTTGGAGATTTTACCTGTAGCCTTGGCGTCGTGATGCTAACCTTGAGAGGATTTCGAGGACACTGGTGAGTCCTCCGCACCATGGCCTGCAAGACCCAGCAGTAGCTTACATGTCGGCATCATCTACATCTTGATGTGAATGTTGGTTGCACTAGGGTGACAGTGCACCCGAGGACGATGAGTCTGAGGTGGACGAGGAGGGTGACCTCCTGGAGCCACCGAAGGCCTGCAAAAGAGCAGAATGGCCGAGCAAGTGAGCGCCAGCTTACGCAGGAGACGCCCGTGCGCGAGCGGCTCTGGCATCTGGACTATGCCCGCATCATCTGCGTCGGGAGCGCAGACGTCAGGCCCCCTTCCCGGGAGCTCTCTCTAGTCGCGAGACTCTGAGGTGGCTTGCACTGTGACGGAGCATTCTGGAGGGCGGCACTACTCCGACCGGAACCTGGTTTGGGTGCAGCAGCCCCTGGGATGCCTTTCAAGAGCGACCCGGGTCACGGCGTGGCATGCAGGAGGGCATGCCAGTACTGCTTGTTCACAGTGAGGTGGGTGTTGCCATACCTTTATACGATCAGCGGCATCTTGGCTCGGGCTGTGGGCTGCTCCGGCTGCTCCCAATCTTTCAAAGTCGTGCTCTGAGCCAAGAGAGATCAGAATCCACACATTAGGTACGGCATTTATGCTGTCCAGAAGTGGATTATGCCTTTATGAGTTTCGCCACTCGGAAGCAGTTGCTAGAACAGCGCCAGGAGCCCTGAGCCATCCGTTTTGCCTTTGAGGTCTTTTGCTTGTTTTTCTGGCCGGGACCATGGCCAACTTGGTTGCTGACATCGTCTCGGGCCGTGACTGGCGCAACAACGTGGGGAACACCGTCTTTCAGCCGTGTCCTCACTTTTTGGCCCTGGCCGAAGGACGGCTCCCAGTCTGTTTCACCTCCAAGGATGGCATACATCCTGGTGCTCATGGTGCTGAGCTTCCTGCTCGCACCACTGAAAAAGGCAGTGCAAACACCATAGACCAGTGAGTGCTTCACGAAGATGGCGATGAGAGGCTCTGCAATGGCGTGCGGAATACCCGACGGCGCCTGCAACCCATCATATTCGAGACATGGTTGCACCCTGGACTTCCATAGAGCTCGCCAGTCTTATCCGCGTGACCGAGGGCTCCTGACCGCCCTCTGGGCAGTCCTCGCAGCCGCACCTTTTGTGTACTTTGTCGGAGGCAGGGAGGCTCTGTAAATGCAAGGTTGTACTCATGCCTTGGAAGCCGTTCCACGATGTGTTTTTTTCATCAGTTTGATCAGGGCAGTTATGAGTTATGACTTGTGCTTCTTATTACTACTCACTACTCTGACTTGCTAGATCCTTGTGACTGGAGATTCAGAAATGCAGACTCATTCGGAGCTTGTTCAAGTCTGTGAGGCTGGTCTCTTATCGATCCGTACCATGTCCAAGGCATGCTGAAGGCTGGCCAGATGCATCCAAGAATCCAATCAAAGTTTTGACGCGTCGTACTCTCAGAACGGATTCCACCTTCTGAAGGCCCAGCATCATCCAGCATCACAATGTCTCTGTTCAGACGTGATTCATTGATGCCAAGCGTCTGAAAGCGTGTGTGTGTGTGCGCAACATGCTTCTCATGTCTGTGCTTGCATACAAGAGCATGCAGTTCTGTGGTTTGGCCAATCCCGAGCATCCCTGCAGAAACCTTCACCCCCGGAATGCAGAGCAGACATTTCTGGCAAGCTCCCACATCCTGAAACTGCCTGGGCAGAATGCGAAGCACTCTGGCTTGGAGAGCATCTTCTACCAGGCCAGGGGTTGCATTCAAGGCGCTTCCGAGGTGAGAGTTTTAGAGCTTTGGGCCTTTAGCCCGAAAGCCCATTGTGACCCAAAACGAAGTGACGAATGTACCGACCGGTCCAAGCCGTCCGACGGTTTCGTGACATGACAGGCGCCGCTATTTTTCGCGAGGCCTCTGGTCTGCAGTGGCTTCCAAAGTGCAATCTTAGGAAGCAAAGCTTGGAGTGGTGGTGCCAGTCGTACTCGTGGCTGCGCAAAGTGTATGCCACCAAGGCGTGTCTAGCGATAGGCCCCGAGCGGGGAAATCACGACGAGAGATGCTGTCTTGTTCTTTTTCAGAGACTGGTGTTCCCATGGTCTCTCTTCAGAAATGCTGCGGGAAGTGGCTGCTGCGCAATTGGCAGCCTAAGAAGCTGTGAGCCCTAAGCACTAAGGAGCTTCGGCTTTATCTTCCTAGCTTGGCTGGCTGCCTTCTCTGGCAAGACGGCCTGGGCACCTGGGCTCAGACAGGGAACTCGAAGTCGCGAAGAGCGGGCAGAGAAACCACGGGACGGTACCTTTTAGGCACGGCTCGCTGCCAGGCAGGCTGGATCTTGATGGTGGTCAGCTATGCCGCCCACATCTTCGTTCCGTTTAGTTGCTTGGCTTCAGCCTCTAAGCCTCTGAGTTGTTCGGGGCCTTCCACAGAGCCCCCTGAGGCAAGGGAGGTCACCCACTGAACCTGGACCTCTTCGTGCTCGGCATGCTGACCTACCAGTGGCCGGTAAAGTTCAAAACGGAGCTGGAGGGGCCCTCAATTTTTTGCGCGAGATTCAAGTTGCCTGTCCTTACAATGCATGGGACCTTGGGCGGGTTGGGTGGCGTTCAGGCCTGGCTGATGCGCCAGTACTGGCCGCTGATCTTCGGGGCCGGAGCCCGAGCTGAAAGGTGCCTCTGAAATGCCTGCATGTGCGCTCAATGCATAAGGTCGGCTGGAATAGCATCCGAAGCTCGAAGCACACCGAACTGCGGCAAAACCCCAGGTCCTGCTGATTCTCAGCACTCCAGAGGTGACTGGGCGATGCTTCCCAGCCGCGCTGGCAGATAGTTCATCATGAGCCAGAAGATGCTGCGAGACCGTTTTTGGCAGCTTTGAGGTGATCTGCATCCCCTGAACACCTGCTGGGAACGCTTTCGCTTCCGTGCTATCGAGTTTGTGCCTGGCCAAGAGACCCAGGAGTGCTGGGGACTCCTCTCAGGTAATCGACTTCTGGAAGTTTGCAGGGCCTGTAGGGTCCGTGGATGTTCGTTAGCCAAAGAAACAAGGTGTGCCTCGATGCCTCCTTTGCGGTTTGCAGGGCTATGAGATCCGGCATCAGGTGCTCATTTCTGCACTGATCACCGACGCCTTGAACACCTCGGATACCTTTGGCCTCACGAGGTGGCTCAACGTCTGGGCATTGAGACGTGGCATCAATATTAATTAGATGATTAGACCTCCGCCTCGTCGTGCGATATGCAGAATCGCTGCTGCGATTTCCCCACCGTTTCCTTTGTGTACTTTCTTTCGCAGTGCAAACACGCTTGAGTATGCCAATGCCTGCCATGATGGTCTCCCAGAATCTGCGGCATGGACTGGTCCTGTCCGGCTGTGGATGATTCTTAGATTGTAGAAGGGTGGCTGTCGCGAAGCCAGAACATGTGATGGCAGCAGCGACATTCTCCGAAGGGCGGCAGCACAAAGGCAGCAGATACAGACACAACAAAACTAAATCAAAAAAGCTTGAAGTATAGACTGTATAGAATATGCCCAAAAGGCCAGTCTCTCAGGTATGCCTACTGCTTCCATGTGGCCTGGGCGCGGATGCTCCCTCTGCCCTATGGGGCTGTGGTGACCTATGCGAGCATCCCTTTCTTCTACTTGCTCAACCGATACGCGAAGTCCCGGCCCTCAGTCTAGGAGCTTTGCCTTCCTGATGTGCGTTTAACGCAATTTCCACATCACTTGTTTAAGTCTAATGTCAGCATTACAATTGCTATCATTGCTACTGCTGTTGCTACTATTGCTACCATTGCTGCTATTGCTACTACTGCTAGTACTCCTACTACTGCTAACCTGGCCACTATTGCTACTATTGCTACTGCTGCGACCAATTCTACTGCTGCTGCTTCTATTGCTGCTGTTGCTGCTGCTGCTGC